TTCAGGAAGCCCGAAAACCCCAAATATTTTTTTTTCATTTTTCATTTTTTTTTTGGTCTAACTAACTCCAAAAGGTTGGAAAAGAGTTCCTACAAAGGCTTTGGACAGTGATTTTAACCCTCACGCCAAAAACCTTAAACCTTACCATAGCCCCAAAACCTGATACACGGGTATTACCTTCAGGAAGCCCGAAGACCCCAAATATTTTTTTTCCATTTTTCGTTTTTTTTTGGTCTAACTAATTCCAAAAGGTCTGAAACATGTTCCTACAAAGGTTTTGGACACTGATTTTAACCCTCACGCCAAAAACCTTAAACCTTTCCCTAGCCCCAAAACCTAATACCAGGGTATTACCTTCAGGAAGCCCGAACACCCCAAATATGTTTTTTTCATTTTTCAATATTTTTTGGTGTAACTAACTCCAAAAGGTTGGAAAAGCGTTCCTACAAAGGTTTTGGACAGTGATTTTAACCCTAACGCCAAAAACCTTCAACCTTACCCTAGCCCCAAAACCTAATACCCGGGTATTACCATCAGGAAGCCCGAAAACCCCCAATTTTTTTTTCCTTTTTCATTTTTTTTTTTTTGTTCTAACTAACTCCAAAAGGTTGGAAAAGAGTTCCTACAAAGGTTTCGGACAGTGATTTTAACCCTAATGCCAAAAACCTTAAACCTTTCCAAAGCCCCATAAACTAATACTAATAAGGAAGCCCGAACACCCCAAATATATTTTTTTTAATTAATCTTTTTTTTTTGGTCTAACTAACTCCAAAAGGTTGGAAAAGAGTTCCTACAAAGGTTTTTGACAGTGATTTTAACCCTAACGCCAAAAACCTTAAACCTTACCCTAGCCCCAAAACCTAATACCCGGGTATTACCATCAGGAAGCCCGAAAACCCCCAATTTTTTTTTCCTTTTTCATTTTTTTTTTTTTGTTCTAACTAACTCCAAAAGGTTGGAAAAGAGTTCCTACAAAGGTTTCGGACAGTGATTTTAACCCTAATGCCAAAAACCTTAAACCTTTCCAAAGCCCCATAAACTAATACTAATAAGGAAGCCGAACACCCCAAATATATTTTTTTTAATTAATCATTTTTTTTTGGTCTAACTAACTCCAAAAGGTTGGAAAAGAGTTCCTACAAAGGTTTTTGACAGTGATTTTAACCCTAGCGCCAAAAACCTTAAACGTTTCCAAAGCCCCATAACCTAATACCCGGGTATTACCTTCAGGAAGCGCGAAATCCCCAACAATTTTTTTTTTCTTTTTTTTTGGTCAAACTAACTCCAAAAGGTTTGAAAAGAGTTCCTACAAAGGTTTTGGACAGTGATTTTAACCCTACCGCCAAAAACCTTTAACTTTTCCAAAGCCCCATAACCTAATACCCGGGTATTAACTTCAGGAAGCCCGAAAACCACAAATATATATATATTTTTTTTTTTTCTATTTTTTTTTAGTCGAACTAACTCCAGAAGGTTGGAAAAGAGTTCCTACAAAGGTTTTGGACAGTGATTTTAACCCTAACGCCAAAAACCTTCAACCTTACCCTAGCCCCAAAACCTAATACCCGGGTATTACCTTCAGGAAGCTCGAAAACCACAAATATATATATATATATTTTTTTTCTATTTTTTTTTAGTCGAACTAACTCCAGAAGGTTGGAAAAGAGTTCCTACAAAGGTTTTGGACAGTGATTTTAACCCTACCGCCAAAAACCTTTAACCTTTCCAAAGCCCCATAACCTAATACCCGGGTATTACCTTCAGGAAGCCCGAAAACCACAAATATATATATATATTTTTTTTTTCTATTTTTTTTTAGTCGAACTTACTCCAGAAGGTTGGAAAAGAGTTCCTACAAAGGTTTTGGACAGTGATTTTAACCCTAACACCAAAAACCTTCAACCTTACCCTAGCCCCAAAACCTAATACCCGGGTATTACCTTCAGGAAGCTCGAAAACCACAAATATTTTTTTTTCATTTTTCCTTTTTTTCTTGTCTAACTAACTCCAAAAGGTTGGAAAAGAGTTCCTACAAAGGTTTTGGACAGTGATTTTAACCCTAACACCAAAAACCTTAAACCTTATTGTAGCCCCATAACCTAATACCCGGGTATTACCTTCAGGAAGCGCGAAATCCCCAACTATTTTTTTTGTCTTTTATCTTTTTTTTTGGTCTAACTAACTCCAAAAGGTTGGACAAGAGTTCCTACAAAGGTTTTGGACAGTGATTTTAACCCTTTCGCCAAAAACCTTAAACCTTACCCTAGCCCCATAACCTAATACCCGGGAATTACCGTCAGGAAGCCCAAACAACCCAAATATATTTTTTTCATTTTTCATTTTTTTTTGGTCTAACTCCAAAAGGTTGGAAACGAGTTCCTACATAGGTTTTGGACAGTGATTTTAACACTAACACCAAAAACCTTAAACCATACCCTAGCCCCATAACCTAATACCCGATAATGACCTTCAGGAAGCGCGAAATCCCCAAATATTTTTTTTTTCTTTTTTTTGGTCTAACTAACTCCAAAAGGTTTGAAAAGAGTTCCTACAAAGGTTTTGGACAGTGATTTTAACCCTAATGCCAAAAACCTTAAACCTTACCCTAGCCCCAAAACCTAATACTTAGATATTACCTTCAGGAAGCCTGAACACCCCAAATATTTTTTTTTCATTTTACATTTTTTTTTGGTGTATCCAACTCCAAAAGGTCTGAAACAAGTTCCTAAAAAAGATTTGGACAGTGATTTTAACCCTAACGCCAAAACCCTTAAACCTTACCCTAGCCCCATAACCTAATACATGAATTACCTTCAGGAAGCCCGAACACCCCAAACATTTTTTTTTAGTTTTCATTTTTTTTTGGTGTAACTAACTCCAAAAGGTTGGAAAAGAGTTCCTACAAAGGTTTTGGACAGTGATTTTAACCCTAACGCCAAAAACCTTAAACCTTACCCGAGCCCTGTAACTTAATACCCGGTTATTACCTTCAGGAAGCCTTCACACCCCAAACATTTTTTTTCATTTTTCGTTTTTTTTTTGGTCTAACTAACTCCGAAAGGTTGGAAAAGAGTTCCTACAAAGGTTTTGGACAATGACTTTAACCCTAACGCCAAAAACCTTTAACCTTTACCCTAGCCCTGTAACCTAATACCCGGTTATTACCTAAAGGAAGCCCTACCACCCCCCAAAGAATTTTATTATTATTTTTTGTTTTTTTTTGGTCTAACTAACTCCAAAAAGTCCTGAAACATGTTCCTAAAAAGGTTTTGGACAGTGATTTTAACCCTAACGCCAAAAAACCTTAAACCTTACCCTAGCCCCATAACTTAATACAAGGGTATTACCTTCAGGAAGCCTTTACACCCCAAAAAAATTTATTTCATTTTACAATTTTTTTGGTCTAACTATTCCAAAAGGTCTGAAACTTTTTCCTAAAAAGGTTTTGGACAGTGATTTGAACCCTAACCCCAAAAACCTTAAACCTTTCCCAACCCCGTAACATAGTACTCCAACCAGCAGGTGAGGAGAGTCTCAATGGCGAGTCACGGTGGCAAGATCTATTCTCTTTCTATCACTCGAATCCCTGCATGAGCAGAATGGTGCCAGACGGACCACCTGCTCCCACCACAATCCTCTTTGACTTTTTGACTCTATCCACTTTTAGAACTTAAAATTGTAATCAATAATCAACTGACCAACTCAGCTCAAACCAAACCCAAAACTCTGCCTAGAGAACTCTCACTTCCACGTTTACATATCTCTTTGTATCTCGTGAGGACCGTGAGGAGAGCAGAGCCTAGACCTAGTCGGGTCGGGGGACTATGTCCCTTGCTCACTCTCCTCACATGGATGGTGAGAGCTGGGGAGCTATGGGATGTTTCATCCGCCACCAAATCCCCCTCACCAATCTTTATTTTCCACCATCTCCACCTCTCCCTTAAACCCCCCTCTCCCTCTTCCCTTCTCTCTCTCTCTCTCTCTCACCCCCCCCTCTCTCTCTCTCTCTCCCTCATCTCTCTCCCTCATCTCTCCCCCTCTCTCTAACACACCCCCTCTTTCTTATTCCCTCCCCTGCCCCTTTATTTTCACCTTCACAGAGGACAAATAGGTGATCTTCAGCCTAGGCCTACCCCGGCCGGGGGGTAACCCCTGTTGGGTCACCTATATGGAGGATTAAGAGAGACCTGAAGGGGAACCGCCGTGCCCCCTAAATCCTCCCCCTCAAACATCTTTTTTAACACTCTAAAATTAGCCAGCTAACCCCACTACAAACAACTTCATCAAAAATTTAAATAATAAATACTTATCAATAACTGACCATCAGTGACACCAGACTAAGCTAGCAAAAAAGAACACACACACACACACACACACACAATCACACGTACAGATTTTCCCTTAGGACATTGATCAAATTTACATTTCTGTCTGTCTTTTAGGGAACTGTTCTCTGTTTTTAAGCTCACTTTTGATTTTTGCTATTTGCTCTTGACACTTCTTTTTTTCCTTTTTTCTTCCCCTTCCCTTTTTGCAATCCACTTTTGTTCTTCTTTTATTTTTTTATTTTTTCATTGTTTTATATTGTATTATTTCATTTTAGGGTTCCTGTGCTTTTGTTTTTCTTCCCCCCTCCCCTCTTTTTTCTTAGGAAGGACTGACTCCTGAGGTTCTCATGCCAGGAAAAATGTACCTCCCTCACTCACGGTTTTACCCACAATCCATTTCTGCAACAGGGAGATGGATTCCCAAGGCTCTCATGCCAGAAAGGAAGTACCTCACTCACTCTCGGTTTTACCCACAATCCTTTGCTGTAACAGGAAGATTGATTCCTTAGGCTCTCATCCCTCAGAACTAAAATACCCACAATCCCTTGCGATTGCATACAAATTTAATGTAGCAAAACTCAATTTAAAACAAATAAACCACTTTAAAATTAACTTAAAACAACTTGAAAGTTTAAAATACAACCAAACAAACATCGAGAAGAGAACACAACCATGTCTGAGAGGAACAACACAAACCATGAGTCGAGCCCAACTCTGGGGATGTCTGCTGCTGTTAAAAGCACTTTTAAGTGCTGTGCACTAAAGAGCAATTCCTGTTCCTGTAATTGAGACAAAGCACTGACCACTGGACCAAGAAGACGGACCACCGCCTCGAGGAAGACCCCGTGCCGCCACCTGAAAGAAGACGCCGCACCTCCTTCACTCCAAGCCGGCCACCACCGAGCTTCGACCCGCCGACGGCACCGAGTCCCAGCAAACCTTCCCGCGGACCGCCTATCTTCTTTCCCCCGCCCAGGACCCCGGACTTCAGACACACCGCCGCCGCCGCCGCCGCCGCGGCTGGACAGCTGGAACCTTTTCCCCCCTCCAACAGATTTTACACTACTGGAAAAGAAACGCCTCACATCAACAACAACATAGGACCACTAGGGTAAGTCTACAAAAAGCCTCTCAAACACCTCAAAATTACTCTAAATAGTTACAGAATAGCAACTACCAAACTAGCATACAACTAAAACTTCACAGCACCAAAACTAAATAGGACTAAAATAGCTCCAATTGGCTACAGGGCACAACAGGAAAGTTGATCGACTCCGTGGGGCCTTCCTTGAATGAGGATATCTAGTGTTAAAACGGCCGAAACATCCGATGATTTCGGGGTTCACTACTGAGGACGTGTCCTGAAATTTAATGTCCAATACCAGCGCTGGGTCAATGTAATGGTTTATTTGAAGAATTTTTCAAAAAAATAAGATTTTCCAAAATAATTAATTGAGCACTTAACTCAACACAATCTGGTCCTCTGGTCTTCTATTTTGAGTGTTGGTTTATCCTGGTGCATGAATAAAGGCCTTAAAACCCGCACCTTTTATGGTTTACTTTAATTTCTACTCTAACATAGCATTTCAGCATTTGTCCATTTACCAAACTCGTATTTCCCACCTCTTGATCCCAGGGTCCAGTTTTTTACAGTTTCCTTTTTTCACCTTTTCGTTTTTGCCACTCTCGTATTTCCCACTTTCTAATTTGGTAAACATTGTACATTCCATATTTTATCCCAGTTTTTATTTTTTATTTTTTATTTTTAGTTCTATTTTTATTTTCCTATTAATTTCCCCCTACCTGTATATTGTACCTTTTTTGAACAAATAAAAAATGTTTTGGAACAACTATACATTCAATTTTTATTCCACCTTTTTTTTTCATACTAATGTACTTTATAATTTAACAGTTCCTGTTTGTACTTTTTAACAAAATAAACAGTGTAGAAAGTGATGACACAATTTTATACAACATTCTAATTTACACCCGTAAGCAACAATTTGGGAGCTAACCTTACTTATTAAACTCAAAATTGTTTAACTCATGGATTACAACTTTAGAATAGTCCAATACCTAAATAAACTACAATTCCTACTCACTTTCTAACTCTGAAATAATAATTTACAGTGAACCCTAGGTCCTATATAATCTATATAAAAAATCTCCACTTAACTCCAAACTTATCCATCTAAAACAATGCAACCTTCTGAAAAGTCGATACTCTGGACCAATAATTCTATTTATTGATCTAAAATTAATAATATAACAAAACTAAATTATGCAATTATTAATGAAATTGACACTTTTGACTCTGAAATAATAATTTCCAAAATATAATTTATAACTAACCTTTAAGATCTATTTTAGATCACAGCGTTAGGGAGTTCAGCAGATTCTATGGCCTAGACAGGCCTGAGTAGAAGGGGATCCAGACAGAACCGTCCACTTTTGACTCTGAATAATAATTTATAAATAATAATTCATAAATATTTCCGATTTAATCTAAAATAATTTTAGGTCACAGCGTTAGGGAGTCTAGCAGAGTCTTTGGCCTAGACAGGCCTGAATGGAAGGGGTTCCAGACAGAACCGTCCACTTTTGACTCTGAATAATAATTTATAAATAATAATTCATAAATATTTCCGATTTAATCTAAAATAATCTTAGGTCACAGCCTTGAGGGAGCTTAGCAGAGTCTAAAGCCTAGACAGGCCTGAGTGGAAGGGCTTCCAGACAGAACCATCCACTTTTGACTCTAAAATAAGAAATAATATATTTTGAAATAATTTTGAAATTATTTATAAATATTTGCAATTTAATCTTAAATAATTTTTAATCATAGCCTTGAGGGAGCTTAACAGAGTCTATGGCCTAGACAGGCCTGAGTGGAAGGGGTTTCAGACAGAACCATCCACTTTTGACTGTGAACAATAATACTTTATAAATAACAATTAATAAATATCTCCGATTTAATCTAAAATAATTTTAGGTCACAGTGTTAGGGAGTTTAGCAGAGTCTATGACCTAGACAGGCCTGAGTGGCAGGGGTTCCAGACAGAACCATCCACTTTTGACTCTGAAATAAGAAATAATAAATTTGAAATAATTTTGAAATAATTTATAAATATTTGCAATTTAATCTTAAATAATTTTTAATCATAGCCTTGAGGGAGCTTAGCAGAGTCTATGGCCTAGACATGCCTGAGTGGAAGGGGTTCCAGACAGAACTGTCCACTTTTGACTCTGAATAATAATTTATAAATAACAATTAATAAATATCTCAGATTTAATCTAAAATAATTTTAGGTCACAGCGTTAGGGAGTTTAGCAGAGTCTATGGCCTAGACAGGCCTGGGTGGAAGGGGTTCCAGACAGAACCATCCACTTTTGACTCTAAATAATAATTTATAAAGAATAATTTATAAATATTTCCGATTTAATCTAAAATAATTTTAGGTCACAGCGTTAGGGAGTTAAACAGCGTCTAAAGCCTAGACAGGCCTGAGTGGAAGGGGTTCAAGACAGAACTGTCCACTTTTGACTCTGAATTAATAATTTCTAAATAATGATTCATAAATATTTCCAATTTAATCTAAATAATTTTTAGGTCACAGCATTAGGGAGTTTAGCAGAGTCTATGGCCTAGACAGGCCTGGGTGGAAGGAGTTCCAGACAGAACCGTCCACTTTTGACTCTGAATAATAATTTATAAATAATAATTCATAAATATTTCCGATTTAATCTAAAATAATTTTAGGTCACAGCGTTAGGGAGTCTAGCAGAGTCTTTGGCCTAGACAGGCCTGAATGGAAGGGGTTCCAGACAGAACCGTCCACTTTTGACTCTGAATAATAATTTATAAATAATAATTCATAAATATTTCCGATTTAATCTAAAATAATCTTAGGTCACAGCCTTGAGGGAGCTTAGCAGAGTCTAAAGCCTAGACAGGCCTGAGTGGAAGGGCTTCCAGACAGAACCATCCACTTTTGACTCTAAAATAAGAAATAATATATTTTGAAATAATTTTGAAATTATTTATAAATATTTGCAATTTAATCTTAAATAATTTTTAATCATAGCCTTGAGGGAGCTTAGCAGAGTCTATGGCCTAGACAGGCCTGAGTGGAAGGGGTTTCAGACAGAACCATCCACTTTTGACTGTGAACAATAATACTTTATAAATAACAATTAATAAATATCTCCGATTTAATCTAAAATAATTTTAGGTCACAGTGTTAGGGAGTTTAGCAGAGTCTATGACCTAGACAGGCCTGAGTGGCAGGGGTTCCAGACAGAACCATCCACTTTTGACTCTGAAATAAGAAATAATAAATTTGAAATAATTTTGAAATAATTTATAAATATTTGCAATTTAATCTTAAATAATTTTTAATCATAGCCTTGAGGGAGCTTAGCAGAGTCTATGGCCTAGACATGCCTGAGTGGAAGGGGTTCCAGACAGAACTGTCCACTTTTGACTCTGAATAATAATTTATAAATAATAATTAATAAATCTCTCCGATTTAATCTAAAATAATTTTAGGTCACAGCGTTAGGGAGTTTAGCAGAGTCTTTGGCCTGGACAGGCCTAGGTGGAAGGGGTTTCAGACAGAACCATCCACTTTTGACTGTGAACAATAATACTTTATAAATAACAATTAATAAATATCTCCGATTTAATCTAAAATAATTTTAGGTCACAGCGTTAGGGAGTTTAGCAGAGTCTATGGCCTAGACAGGCCTGGGTGGAAGGGGTTCCAGACAGAACCATCCACTTTTGACTCTGAATAATAATTTATAAAGAATAATTTATAAATATTTCCGATTTAATCTAAAATAATTTTAGGTCACAGCGTTAGGGAGTTAAACAGCGTCTAAAGCCTAGACAGGCCTGAGTGGAAGGGGTTCAAGACAGAACTGTCCACTTTTGACTCTGAATTAATAATTTCTAAATAATGATTCATAAATATTTCCAATTTAATCTAAATAATTTTTAGGTCACAGCATTAGGGAGTTTAGCAGAGTCTATGGCCTAGACAGGCCTGGGTGGAAGGAGTTCCAGACGGAACTGTCCACTTCTGACTCTGAAATAATACTTTATCAATAACAATTTATAACTAACCTTATATTTTATACTTCAATTTCATTACTTCCAACCATAGCTTTGCTACCTTTAACAGAGTCCAGAGTCTAGACAATCTGGTGTCGTATTCCTTAATGAATTTCAATTCTTCCAAATAGCCACGGTTTGCTCCCTACAGACACTAACACTTACCCTAACCCTAACCCTAACCCTAAATCTAACCCTAACCCCTAACCCTAACCCCTAACCCTAACCCTAACCTTACTAACCTCTATCTTAGCTAAGTCACCCCCACCCTCTTTTTTCATATCAGAGGATGAAAACCAACAGGTGAGGAGAGTTTATCTGGCTAGTCACTGTGGCAAGTTCTATTCTCTCTCTATCACTCGAATCCCTGTAGAAGCAGAATGGTTGCAGTCCCAACAACCTGTTTCTCTCTCACCCATCCTCTGAGACTTTGCACTAATGCACCCTACTCCCATAGATAAAATTCAACCTATTACCTCCCTACTAACACCACCTAGTCCTTCTCAATAAGAAAAATTATTATTATTATTATTATTATTATTATTATTATTATTATTATTTTAACACTTAACCATACCAACTCTAATCCCTAACTGAACCTCCAAAAATAATTGCTCTACAAACACATAGTCTAAAAGATAGACAGCATAGCATACCAATTGAGCTGAGTCATTAAACTTCCTACAAACACATTACACAGATTGAGCTCAGAGACTCGACTGGGAACATGTGACAGGTCGAACTGGGTATTACCTTAAGGAAGCCTTAACACCCCCCAAATTTTTTTTTTTATTTTTCGTTTTTTTCTTGGTCTAATTAACTCCAGAAGGTTGGAAAAGAGTTCCTACAAAGGTTTTGGACAGTGATTTTTACCCTAACACCAAAAACCTTAAACCTTACCCACGCCCCATGACCTAATACCCGGGTAATACCTTCAGGAAGCCTGAACACCCCAAATATATTTTTTTCATTTTACATTTTTTTTGGTGTAACCAACTC